AATTCGAAAACACTCCCGGATATGTGGTGTATTTCGTAGCCTTTTTTTTTTTTTTTTTTTTTTCCTGCGGTTCTTGTAATCGTGGTAGGTATTTTGTGTTATTCGCATTGTCAAATTTTATTTTTTTTTAGTTTTTTTCCCCTTGTTTTTTTACGTATATTTTTTTATTTCTTCTGTTAGGTCTTGTTTTTTGTCCTTGTCTCTTCTTCTTCTTCTTCTTCTTCTTCTTCTTCTTGTTCTACTTCTTCTTCGCGTTCATCTTTGGCTTGTTGTTGGTCGCGTGTTCATCGCTGTGTTGATTCTTCATGTCGCCCAACCTGTCATCCCCGCCGGCGACCTTGTCTTATATATATATATATATATATATATATCGTCACAAACAGTATATATATATATATATACATATATATCTACATATATATATATATATATATATGAGAGAGAGAGAGAGAGTTGGCTTGTCGCATCGAAACTGCATGCATCACGTTGCCATCAGACATGACATTTGTACTACTTTTATTAGGTTTCGATTTTTAGTTTACTTCGTTTTTATTTTTGTTCTTCTTCTCTTATTCGTCGTTCCTTTTTTTTCTTGTTCGGTTACGAAATGCGACTTCGATATTGTTCGGCGTGTACCTGGCAGCACATACAGCGCTGAGTATATATATATATACTCTGCCATATTTATACTCTGCCATATTTCGTCGTCCAAAATTCGAAAACACTCCCGGATATGTGGCGTATTTCGTAACCTTTTTTTTTTTTTTTCCTGCGGTTTTTGTAATCGTCGCAGGTATTTTGTGTTGTTCACATCGTCATTTTTTTTTGTTTTCTAGTTTTTTTTCCCTTGGTTTTCGACGGATATTTTTTTATTTCTTCTGTTAGGCCTTATTTTTTGTCCTTGTCTCTTCTTTTTCTTTTTCTTTTTCTTCTTCTTCTTCTTCTTCTTCTTCTTCTACTTCTTCTTCTACTTCTTTTTCTCGTTCATCTTTGGCTTGTCGTTCGTCGCGTGTCCATAGCTGTGTTGATTCTTCATGTCGCCCAACCTGTCATCCCCATCGGCGACCTTGTCTTATATATATATATATATATATTGTCACAAACAGAACTGCCCGGTAAACCGTAGGCAGAGAGAGAGAAGAGGACAACAAACGAGGGGCTGTGTATATATATATATATATATATATATATATATATCGTCACAAACAGAACTGCCCGGTAAACCGTAGGCAGAGAGAGAGAAAAGGACTATATATATATATATATATATATATATATCCTCTGCCATATATCCTCTGCCATATTTCGTCGGCCAGAACTCGAAAACACTCTCGGATATGTGCCGTAACTCGTTGGCTTTTTATTTTTTTCTACTTTTTTCTAATTTTTTGCGGTTCTTGTAATCGTCGCAAGTATTTTGTGTTGTTCGCATCGTCTTTTTTGTTTTTGTTACTTTGTAATCCCTTCGTTTTTTATTGTTATTTTTTTATTTCTCCTGTTAGGTCTTGTTTTTTGCCTTTCTCTCTTCTTCTTCTTATTATTATTATTCTTATTTTTCTTCTTCTTCTTCTTCTCCATCAACTTTGGCTTGTCGTTCGCCTTGTCTCCGGCGCTGTAATCCTTCTTCGTGTTAGGCAACCTGTCTTCCGCGTCGGCGACCTTTATGCCCGTGCGAGGAGCAGGGAAGGTCAGATCCAAATTCTTCAGCACACAAATTTATGTTATGCAGAAAAATAAACTGAACATGTTTTGTTTCTAGGTCACATCCGACTTCTTCACCATATTACAAAAAATAAAATAAAAAAATAAATTCCAAAACATAATTTTTATTATAATTTTTTTGTCCGGCCGGTCAAGTGGCCCCGGGGCATTCTGGTAGCCAACGACATGCGAGTACTTTATTATTAGGCCTGAATCAGAGATCATACACAGCGCTCAACAAAGACAGCGACGATATATACACATATATCCACACAAACAGAACTGTCCGGTAAACCATATATATATATATATATGTGTCTATATATATATCTATATATGTCTATATATATATAGCGCCCCTCGTTTGTTGTCCTCTTCTCTCTCTCTGCCAACGCTTTACCGGACAGTTTTGTTTGTGACGATATATATATATATATATATACTCCGACGAAACAGTTT